CCACCTCAACCAAGCTTCACAATCATCATTGCTGTGTACAGTATTAAATTGTTTGTTTAAAACTTATAGTGTGTGTGTGTGTGTGACTCTTTTGTCTGGCAAAAAAAAATTCCCTGGAACCTAGCCCCCTCCCCCCCCTTTACATTAATTCTTATGGGGAAATTGGATTTGCTTAAAATCGTTTCGCTTAAAGTCGCATTTTTCAGGAACATAACTACAACGTTAAGTGAGGAGTTACTGTATTAAGGACTTTGGTAGTCCAGTAAAGCAGCACAATTTTGTTACAAGTCTCACCTCTTCTTTGAGAAGTTCACATTTATAACAAGAAAAAACAATCAAGTTATCCTAAATGTAAAGTCTCAGGTAATTAATCTGCTTGTCATGAAAATGCAAAGTTTTAGATATGATGTGGCAAACTGGAGCTACAGCATATTCTCCATTTTTTCTTTAATGTACTGTGGATTTTAATAGTTTCAATCAAGAATGAAGTAGGGATTAGACATAAGATTTTGTTGAACATGTTATATATCCTCTCTTCAGCCCAACCATGCAAACACTTAAGCAGGTGCATAATTATGCTCATGATAATCCTATACAAATAGTACAGTTATTAAAGCTTCTGTGTGTCGGAGAAAAACTTCCACATGTGCATTCCTCTTAATTATAATGGGACTACTCATAAGTAAGTTATGCATCAGACTAAGTGTTTGAAGGACTGGAGCTTTAGATACTCCTCTACCCCGATATAACGCTGTCCTCGGGAGCCAATAAATCTTACCGCGTTATAGGTGAAACCGCGTTATATCGAACTTGCTTTGATCTGCCAGAGTGCGCAGCTCCGTCCCCCGGAGCACTGCCTAACCGCGTTATCTCCAAATTCGTGTTATATCGGGTCACGTTATATCCAGGTAGAGGTGTATTACTCTGATTAAAATCTACAACTAAAACCTGGACATGCAAACCCACTAAGCTAAGATTCCTTGCAAATCTAAGACTCCCATTAAAGTTAATGGGAGATTTGATGTGTAAAGAAAGCATCATTTGTAAGTGATAAATATCTATGTTAAGAAAAGGCCACATTAAAATAATCTAAGTTATTGAAAATGTTGCAGTGTTATATTGACTTTTTAACTGAAATCTCTTGAATTAATACACACATGGTTGTAAAGAAGCAAATTTTTGCTGGTGCATACATCTTCAACACTTGAAACCTGGAAGAAGAAACATCTTGCAGAGGAAAAAAGAGACAATAAACAGAATATTTTAACAGGGAAAACAGTGTCAATGAAGAAAAAGTTGTGGGAGATCAACTCCTTTTTATGTCGAACCATGTATACATTTCTCTAGTTTACTTGATACTTAGTGCTGCAATTCTTCATGTAATCAAGTACAGTATCCACATCTTTTGCAACTGCCCTGTAAAAATACCTTTAGAACTGGATAATGTACATATAGATACAGGAGGTCAGCTTCCCAATGAAATCTCTCATTTGCTGCTCTTAAATCCAAATTGTAGTAGATTAATGCTTACACATGTAACATGAGCAAATGACTACAGTAAAGTAAAGGCTTACCACTTAAATTAGAAGTGCTTTAAGGCACTCTATGCTTATGTTCACTATGCAAGCCTGTGGGTATGTGGTTTCTGCATCCCTACATACAACAATGAATAGTACCTCCATATAAAAATCTGTAATACATACTTGATTCTGATTCATAGGTCAACCATAGCATAAATCAGGAGTAGTTTACTTTCACCTTTCCATATATTTTAAAATTTTAGGGGGCAGAGTTAAGGTTGGGTGGATGGCATACATCAGGCAAGGTGATCATGAGAGATAAAAGGTGATATGACGTGTAGTCTAGTGGAGAAAGAACTGGACTGGGAGCCAGGAGATCAGGATTATAGTCCCTACTTGGCCACTGACCAGCAATATGAACTTAGGCAAGATTAGTCTACCCTCTGTTTCCCTTTGTCTTGTCTATTTAGAGTGCAAGCTCTTTGGGGCAGGGATTGCATCACACTATGTGCTTGTACAATGGGGCCCTGATCTCAGAGACCTTGAAATACTACAGTAATACCAAATTCCAAGATCCCTTAACTATTCATTTCCAAACTTGGTAAGGTTTTGACTGATTGCAATTGTAGGATTTCTGTAAGAAATGTGTAGTATTGGGTTTTGGATATATACAGTTTTAAAACCTTTTGTTCAAGATTTTGTTTAGGAATTTCCCTGTTTTTGAATAAGTGCAAAAAAAGTTAATTGAGTTGATATATAATATCCATAGGAAAAGATTTGGCATTTCTCATGTATCCCTCTAAAGCATTACCTTTCCATGCTCTCTCTCTTGCCCCATACACACTCCCCTAGAAAACTAAAAAGCTATTTTCCACAAGGCAAACAAAACCGAAATAAACAAAGTTTTCAAGCCAGGCCAGTGTAGAGAGATTATGAGCCAAAACAGTTAGGAAAATTTTGAAAAAGTGAAGACTAGATAAATTTTCAAAAAATAATGGGCCTGATTTCAAACTTCAACCATTTGTGCAATAGCTACATGCAGAATGTGTGGTTAGAATCAAATTCCAAGCATGGAAAGCTGCAGCTCAAAAGGAATTTTCAGAAAGTTATGAGCATCTGAAAAGAGTTAATGGAAACCATTTTGCAGCCTTAAATATAGGTGTTCAAAAAAGATGTACGAAGTGGCAAGTTTAAGATCTTTAAAAGCCTCCTGTGGCATGAGACCACAGAAATAAAGAATTGGGGCTAGCAATGAAATCGTTAACAACTACAGTTTAAACAACCTGACGAAGAGCTCAGTGTGGTTCAAAAACTTGTCTCTCTCACCAACAAAAGTTGTTCCAATAAGAGGTATTACCTCACCCACCTTGTCTCTCTAATATCCTGGGACAACATGGCTACAATTACACTGCATACATGTGTATTTCCAGTCATTTTACCCTTAGTAAATTTTAATCCACTATTGGGTAAGTCAACAAAAGCATGGCAAGGACATTTTTTCTTTGGGACACTACCATAGATTTCTTCTATTTTAATTTTTTTAAATAATGCTCCCAGTAAAACAGCCAAACGAAGATACATTATCGAAGTATATACCTGAAACTTTAAGATTCACTGTGCAAAAGTATATTTTGTCTAATATAGAATATGCTCCTTTTGGTCTCAAAAGAATTCATTTTAGAAAGGAGAATAAAAAATAGTTTTACAAGTTCCCAGGGTGTTGCTGGTATCTGTCTAGTCACTTGCATCCTTCTACAAGAACATGAACAGGATGTTTTAAGTCATGAAATAATTTAAACATGGAAGCTTCACTATTTTAAGCTGTGATTTCTTTTGACATTTTCCCATTCTTTCAACATCTTGAATTCATAAACAAGAGAAAGACGACTCAGGCTAGCCTGAAGGTCCAATGGCACTCTAAACTGCAACACAGGAAACCAGAATTCAGAACAGAACTAGATCTTCATGATTTAACCATTCAGGGACTGGACACCGAGAGGGTCAGACAATCTAGAGAAGGAAGGACTGAATGTGTGTCTTTTAAACACTCCATCCTATCAGCAGATAAACTGCAAACTGAAAGAGATTGATATAAAGACAAAGTCCCTTCCCTCCACTACAAATGTCTAGCCACAGCTCTATTGTTGTGAAAGTATACACTCACACCATACTAAACTCTATTTTCAGTTACACAGACCTCAATACCAACGACATGGAGGATAGGTCCCAGTCTGGGTTGTGGCCTTCTATTTGAATGGAAAGTGCACTGGTTAAGGATTTGAAAGATCCTCTGCTGTTTCTAAAATGTGGTTGCCACTGTGATGATTGAAATATGACCATGTATATCATTGATATTGCCACTGTTAGACAATTGCAACAAAAGTTGTACAAAGTATATTATGTAAGGTGTCATGGAAAAGTTATGATATACTAAAGATGATTATCCTGTTTAAATCCATGTATCATCACTGTATCTGAAGTTATGAATATTGGTTATGTATCTATATGTTAAATGTGTTGTTCCTGGGGTAACACCCATAAGGTAATTTACAGCCAGTCTAGCCAGCACATTGTGAATGGACTCTTCAAGTTTCATGGCCCATTAAAGGACACTTTGCTCTAACAATGGGCTATAGAAGAAACTCCTCCTGCCCTGTGATTCTTCCTGTGGACGGCTTAGCCTCCAAATTGCCAATGGCTGCCCCTGTGACTTTACAAGCTGCAGTCTATAACATCACTGCTACCAACCTGATATAAGAACATTAGCCATTATTGAATGTATATGATCTATTGACTATTTTAAATCTCTTCTTCTTTTCTCTTTTAAATAAACCTTTAGATTTCAGTTAGTGAAAGATTGGCAGCAGTGTGATTTTTGGGTAATATCTGAGTTATATATTGATCTGGCTACGGGGCTGATCTCTTGAGATCAGAACCATCCTTTGTTTGATTAAATTGGTTTTCAATAACAATTCATCAGAAAGTCTAGCATCTGGATGGTGAAACAAGGACTGGGATGCCTAAAGGAGACGGCATTTTTGACTTCTTGTTAACCAGTGTGGTGAGACAGAAGTTTACTTTTGTTACTGGCTTGGTATATCTAATGATAAAATAACTACCAGTCTGAGGTGAGTCTGCCCTATTTCTCAGCAGTTTGTCCCGAATCTGGCATCCTCAGCTGTAACCCACTAAGGCATGGCAATAGCCACTTGGCCATTTTTAGTCACACATGATCTCTCAACAGCTTTTGTTATGGATGACCCAGAATTATTGTTTTGGTGATTAAGGAATTTAGTTGCTGGGATATCTGTAACTTTGGTGGTTCCAATGAGACCTGGGAAAATGAGACGTGATGCAGATGTATATGCCGTTTGGGATGCACACCAGAGCCAGAAAGTTGGGGCGGGGACTTTGGGGAAGGGGTTGGAATGGGGGTGGGGCAGAGGTGGGAAGAGGCAGGGCCTTATTGAAGAGGTGGTGTGGGGGTTGGGGTGGGGTCGAGCACCCATGTGAAAGAGGGGAAGTCGGCGCCTATGCTCACAGGAGGTGGGGGCTCGGAGTCTTTTTAAAAGAGGACTGCCTTCCCAAGTTTGCATCTGATCTGGAGCAGCTGCAATGGCATGGTGGTTTGCAAAAAGTATGCACACAGGACCAAGCAGCTGCTCTGCAAATGTCCAATATAGGAATATCATTTAGAAATGCCATTGATGTGACTTGAACTCTTGTGGAATGAGGTCATACCCCTGAGGAGTCATAGCCTGGTCTACTTTGTACTCTGTCATGATACAGGAAGTTATCCACCTGGAGACTGTTTGTGAAGAGACTGCTTGGCCCTTCATTCGAGCTGCATATGAAACAAACAGACAAGGCGAGTAATGGAAAGGTTTAGTTCTCTCCAGATAAAAAGCTAAACATTGCTTGTCATCTAATGTGTGAAGACACTGCTCCTCTGGGGTTGAATGCAGCTTAGGGAAAAACACTGGCAGATATATAACTTGATTCAAGCAAAATTGGGAAACCACCTTAGATAAAAACTTAGGGTGCAACTGCAGGATTACTTTGTCTTTGGAAAAAGGCATGTAAGGAGTTCGCCGCCATCAAAGCCTGCAACTCGCACACTCTCCTTGCAGATGTTATTGCCACAAGAAAGACAGTTTTCTGACACAGGAGAGAGTAAGAAGAAGTTGCCAGAGGCTCAAATGGAGATCCCATGAGAGCCACTAAAACAATATGAAGATCCCACAAGGGAACCAGCTCTCTAACCGATAGGTGGAGATGAAAGACTCCTTTCAAGAACCTCACCGCCATGGGGTTTGAACACACTGACTTCCCATGGATTGAAATCACCATCAGGTACACTCTCAGTGAACTAAGTGCAAGACCAAAAGACTGAAGGTGTTAACCAATTACTCCAAGTAAGATGTCCTGGATACAAGCCAGCATTGGTTGAACTTCCCAGGATAATCACCATAATGAGAACCACTTCCACATGGCTGAATAGGCAGCCTTGGTGGAGGACTTTCTACTAGTAAGCAAGACCTGCCCCAGACCGCCTCTGAACATCCTTTCTCCTTATCTAACTATGCAGCATCCACGCTGTGAGATACAGGCAGCCAAGCCTGACCGTGATGCTGAGTTAGGTGGTCAGGATGAAAAAGAAGGGACGGGGGGCCGACCAATAATGCGAGGAGGTCTCAGACACACTGAAGCAGTGAGAATAAGCTTGGCAGGGTCCAATTTCAGCTTAAGAATGACCTGCAGGATGATCCGAATCGGAGACAAGGCAAACAGGAGTGCTGATTCCCAACGCAGGTGAAAAGCATCCATCAGGGAGCCCAGACCAAGGCATCCCTGGGAGCAAAACAGCCAGTATTTCTTGTTTGCTATGAAAGGCAACAGATCGATCATTGGGATACCATAAACTGCAAAGATGGACCAACTGCAGGACACTGAGCTTCAAAGACTACTTGTGATTCAGACAGAAATTTCTGCTGAGGTGATCCATCAGGTGACTGGATTCCAGACAAGTGATTGGCAATGGGCATAATGTTTCTCCCAGTGCAAAACTGCCAAAACCTGACTGTCCCCTGACAAAGCAGGTTGAAGTGTGCTTCCTGCTACCTGTTCACATAATATATTTTGGTGGCATTGTCGGTGAGTATGAGAACCGCTGAGCCCCAGTGTGATCCTGAAAGGTCTGAGAGGCACTGTAGATAGTATGAAGCTCCATGACATTGATCTGCAGAGAAGCTTCCTGTTCTGACAACAGGCCTTGAACTTTCAGCAGATCCAGATGGACTCCCCAACCTATTAAGGAGCCATCAGCGACTATAGTCCTGGTCAGTGAAGGCCAAGTGAAAGGAACACCCTGGCACTCATTGTCCTGAATCGCCCACCCTGTAAGGAAACCGGCATCAGTGGAGGTAGTCAGACCAGCATGTCCAAGAGACAGACCGATTTCAGTCACATCTGAATAGGATGCAGGCGCAGCCTGGCATATTGAACTACCTGTGTGCATGTGGCCTAGCAACCATAGCCCGCATATACCTGAGCTGTGGTTGAGGAATGAGACTGCAGCTCTAACATAGGTAGTAGATTGCCTGGAATCACTTGGTCGGTAGAAACAATCTGGAACTTTTTGAGTCTATCTGGGCCACAATGAACTCGATTCACTAAGCTGGAACCAATGTTGCCTTCCCAGGTTCAGGATGAGTCCTAGATGATTAAGTAGATGTAGAGTGATGTGAACAAAAGAGAGGACTTCCTCTCTGGACTTGCCCCTCAATAACCAATCGTCTAGATACAGGAAGATATGAATTCCCTTTACCAAGAGGTTCTGTGGTGACAATGGGGGAGCCAGCCCCGATGAGGCAAACTGATGGTCAGACTCTCTGAAGCCCAATAAGGTGGCAAATTTGGTGCCAAAGAGGAGTGGAGAATCAGCACCAGCAGCATCAAAGGAGACACTGCCACATGGTACCAGGAGAGGCATCAGCACCGAGGCTGATACTGAACTCGATGATGGGATCGGCCACCAAGACAATGGCGGTGTCAAAGGAAGCACCAGCATCAAGGGGCCTTTGGTGCTGGGCCTGGCCTCAACTTTCTAGTCTGCAGGCCAGATGGTACACACACAGACCCAGCGAATTTGCGACATGGCCAAAAGGTGACACTTAATTTGGGCTTGGAATTCATTTGATTGAAACAGGGAAGAGAACCAAAACAAAAATATGGTACCCTCAACTGTATTAACACAAACTAAGAATTTGTACAATTTTCCTGCCCCTGAGGGTTTACCCACGGGAAGCCACTATTTGGCCCAAGAGCATTACTGCAATGAATTCTTTCAAATATAAAAATTGTTTGCTGCAATAAATTCATGCGAGAGATTAAGAGCAGCTCAGTTGTAGACTTGTTAATTTTTTTGCCTTAATACACAAATCCTATTACTTATTCTCCTATAATAAAATAGCTAACAGGAAAATGAACAATTTAATTGGTTAATAAACATTCCAAGCCCTGTGGGTACCCTACATGCCTTTCATAGGTCAGGACAAATTTGCCTATTCACTGAAAAATATCATTTGTCCGTTTACAATTCTAAACTTAGAAGTCAAACAAGGAGAACTGCCAGAAGCAAATTAAATATAAACACACAAATTGGATAATACTTTAAAAGGTTGCATACTCATAATAAAAAAACTCTTATAACTGGGTGCAGGTATCTGAAGAGGTTCACATCTGAGGTGTATGAGAATTCAACATAGTTGCAGGTCCATGCCTTTTTTCATACAATTACCAACACATGGAACACCCTACCCTACTTTTTATTTAAATGTCTCCTGAAAACTGACCTCTTCCATGATGCTCACAATAATTCATTAATTTATTCATTCAATTTCAGTAATATTCACTCATCTCGATCTTCCTTTTCAAATTAAATATTTATAGAAGGGAACAAGAACAAAGGGGAGAAAAGAAAAAACAATACAATCAAAATGTGGGCATGCCTTAAGTAACCATATATATTTGTATTGCCTCAGAATGTGTCACATTCTTCTCAAGTGGATGGGGTTTGGCACTGCAGAGAAGGGCCAAGTCTGCATTTGTCCTGAGTTCTGATAAAAATCACACTGATCTCATGGAATCCATAGGAGGCTGGGGCATTCTTTGTCCAACTTTCCCCCTATCTCCTAAAACAGCCTGGCTGAAAAAGCTGCATTGTTCTTGCATCCCATCTGTGCTACAAACTACCCCTTGAGGGGAGTTTGAAGTTCTACACCAGGAGTCCACAGGAATTAATTGTGAAATGGTAAGCATTAATTCTTGCCTGTATTTTCCGATGGGTTTGCTGGAGAACAAAGTTCTGTTGTGTACAGTGCTTTTCTCCCTTCTCCCAGACTCTGTTCCCTCAACACTCAAAAATTCAGGGATCCTTGATCACAACTAACAGAAGGATTTCCGCAGTGTTAGAGGAAAGGAAGGGAGGATGTGATGTTATTTAAAGAGCAACTCCCGTCTAACTCTCAGACTCACTAGTGATTTGACAGAATCTTCCACTCTTTTCTCCCCTCTGAGGCTCAAATCCTTTTCACCCTTGAAGGCATCAATTGCACCTAAGCAGAAGCCAATCTTCACATATCTTCTTTCATACTAAATGTAAAATCAGATTCAAGGTACCAATAAAAATACTCAGGAGAAATGGAATAGCAAACACCATGGCACAATATATGCAATCTATACACATTTGCACAAGGGGAATCTTGTACATAAATGTAAGCAATTTTGCTTTGCTTAATCTGCAGTACAGGACATGTCCTCATTTCAACCTTTTCATTCTATTTTTTTGCTTTAGCAGCTAATTTTTTATTATTGTGGGCCATTTCCTAAAATGTTTCAGAGTACTCCAGCATTCTGATGGCACAGGGAGGGGTTTTAATGTTCATTTTATTAACCAAGTTGATTTTATGACTTGGTTGGACATGTTGATTTATTTGGTTAATATTTGTACTGTTATTTCCCACATTTTATTTTTGTTTCAAAAGGTCTGTAGGCACATGGAAGTAAGGAGTATTCCATTAACAAGACATTTATGTGACTTATAGTTAACAAAGAAATAGAAATTGCAACAATGGAATAAATTTAAGAAGAAAATAAATCAGAGCTTTCTCCTTAATCTGGTTTTCACATGCAAGAATGTAAGATCATCATACTGGGAGATTTTGTGGAAAATCAGGACATGAGACAAATTGGGCAGTTGCCTGACTGACATAAGAAATATCTACTGTACTTCCTTTTGTCCATCAAAAGGAATTAAGCCTCCAGTGGAATCCTCCAATGCATGCTAAGGAAAAGAAAAACCTTTATTGCAAACCTTACAGAGAATTCCTTTATTAGAGAACCCCTTCTTCAGAGGAGCAAACTTAAAAATAAAATAAAAATTATAGATAGCCATGCTTGCTTTACAGGCCAGCCTTTGACCAATATTCTGGCACATAGCAGTAAGGGACTTACTGGTTGTTAACTCACGAGTTAGAAAGTTCAGCAATCAGTCTGACAGATTCCAAGACATGGTGGGTGAGGTAATATCTCCACAGCAGCCCCATCTCCAGGACCTACATAAGCAAATGAATGCCCTACTCCCATCCAGCATTCAGAATATCCACCCCTCCTGACTCCACTCCAACACAGAAGTTCCTGCAGCCTAAGGCTGCAGTAAACTCATGTAACTGTTATAAGAAAGAGAAAGCAGGGACCAGAAAGAAGGAAACAAAGTGATCTCCCATTGAGTGGGGACATGGGTGTATTCAGAAGGAGTTCTGACCTACCCCTCCTGCAACTGGCCTTTAGAGACTCTTTCCCACAGCTGATCTCTCCAAAGGCTGAGAAGAGGAATGGGGAGGTAAGTATCACAGACTCTGCTTGTTGGACAAGAAGCAAAGGCAAACCACCTGATATACACTCTGCTGTAGCATCTCTAGGGTGGAGCACCAGCTCAGAATTCTAACTGCTAGGTAACAGAGTTCCAGCCAGCTCTCCAAACAGAAGTTCAGTATGGCCAGGTTTTGTGCCCTTATATGACATAAGACTGGCTTCACATGCAAAAGAACTTTCCTCTCCACTGCTATTTGCACAAAGGTGGCTTGCAGTGAGGGCGTTGCTAGCAGAAGTGAATTAGTCCCTAGATTTGTAAACCATCATGCACACCTGTGGTGCTATAGTAAAAATTTGTTAAACTAAGAGTTAGTCTACACTGGCAATGCTAAAGCGCTGCCACGGCAGCACTTTAAAGTGCCTTCTGTGGTTGCAGTCCACTTCAACCAGGGGCGCAGCTCCCAGCGCTGGGGCAGTTTACACTGGAGCTTTACAGCACTGCAACTTGCTGCGCTCAGGGGGGTGTTTTTTCACTCCCCTGAGCGAGAAAGTTGCAGCGCTGTTAATTGCCAGTGTAGACAAGCCCTAATATTATTTTTTGAAAAGTAAAAGATTTGTTCAACTTTAAGACATTTCTGTAACTTGCGGAATAACTGTTAACTCTTATTACCTTATTAAATAGTACCCACAGTTAGTCATCAGTATGTATAGGGTCAATTAAACACTTTTTACCAGTTAATATCTATGCAATATGTAATTTGCTTTTCCCCAACTTGTCACTGCTGCAGTGGAATTCCAATTGCATAACTGGAAACTGTCCTTCAAGGAAACAAGCAGACCTTCAATATGTTTTCTCTTTTTTAAAGATTTCATTCTAAGCTCAAGAAAACAATAGCACATCTAGATCATATGGCCCTGTTTAGAAGAGAAGTTATGCAGTTTTCTGGATTCCATAAACTTCAGTAGGTCACATATAGGGCTCTTTGACTGGGTTGATCAGGAAGGTCAGAGAAGAGTATGAAGGGGAAGAGTATCCAATTGAAGAGCATGGAGTTATGAAGCTGCTATGGGTGACACAGGTGGGACAAGCCAGGGAACATAGTTAAATGAGCTTTGTCATTTATTTCTTGGCTGCCATTTCCTGCATATCTGGGATATACTGACCAGGCTCAGGGCATCTCCTACCTTTAGTTTTATATAGAATACTTAGGCTGGGTGGGATCCAAGTCTGCTTCTGAGAATGGAGTAGGATTAGGCAGCCATAAAAAGATGAAATCAGCTAGAGGAAATTCTCTGGAATAAAAGCAGCTTTATTGTAGCTGTGATACCCTAGAGGCTCACAGAGCATATGCAAGCTACTCACCCATGGAAATAATTATAAAGGGCTGGATAAGCATCATAATCAAAAATCCAAAGCCTCAAATGCAAGAGTCACATTGCTAGCACACATTTTTGCATATTCAAATGATGGTAAACAGTAGGCAAACTAGTTAAAAAAGCAGTAGTAAATCTTAAGAAAAACCTTTTTTTGATACCAATCCTGCAAGTCCTTATATAGTTGTCCCATGGATCAGGCACTTTTTCAGTTACAATGACTCATAAAAAATAGATTTAGAGAAAATCAAAAAGATGTTAAAAATAACAGAAAGCATTTTGAGCCAAAGTAGTGATTTAAGAGGTTTGTTAAGTTGCTTAATATCACCACACACAATTACAGGTAACCTACTAAGGAAAAGAGGTTAATCTGTGATTTTGTTACATTTTTATATTGTAACTAAAACTGCCAGAAAATATTTTTTTTCCTATTTATTTCCATTATACATTCAGGTTTTGTCTATCATGTTTCACTTAACAAATTTTGCAGATGACTCAAGATATAGCTTGATTATCATGTCACAAATACCAAACAAGTAACGTCTATTCAATTCAGAGGGAGTGATTTTTACTCAAACTGATTTCTTGTTTGTTTTTCTTAGCAGCTATTGAACTCAAACACTTAACAAAAAATTGGAAGAAAGGCTCTTTTGCTACACATTTACCCTTTCCTTTCAGGTAGGTGCTGTAAAATCTCCCAAACCACATCTTCGGGTCCCCTAAGGAAGGTTGATATTTGAAGATTAAAAAACCCACAAACATTCATTTATTTTAGAAATCAAACCCTTTAGAGCTATCTTAATACTACACTATCAGTAAATAAAAATGAAGAGGCAAAGGCCCTCTTCAAGTCACGTTTAAGACTTGAACCACTGTGATGCATACCAAAACTAGTAACTTGAGACTTTGGTGACAGGTACTCTAGTTCTCCCCCTTCTTACCTTAAAAATTAGCTTCTTTCATTAGAGACTGGCATACTGCTACTTCACCCTCCCATAGCCAGCCTTAACTACAAGCTGAATTATGAGTATGTGGGCACAGACTGGTCTTTTGTCAATAAATAGGTTACACTTCCCCAAAAAGGTGAAATAATCACCATGTAGAGTTTAGCAAAACTAGCTGCAGCGTGAAAACCAAAGCTTGATTCCATGCACTACAGAACAGTTGGGGATAGCTATGAAATATCCACTGGGTAAAATTTTCAGAAGGATCTTAATCCCATTTTCAAAAATGATTCAGGCATTTACAAGATGGATTGATTTAAATCACCAATTTTAATCATTATTTACATCAGCAAGAAATCATTGATTTTAACCCTGTTTTGCATTTATACTTTAGCCATTTTCCTAAAGAAAGGTTTGTTCTCATTGGTTGGTACAACCACTAAAACATATTGATTTGCAAATAAATATAACCTTTATACTAAATGTGGTACTTTTTGCTAACAGGAGAATACCCTGTATTTATACACACTTATTTAAACAATTCTATAGTTTAACATACATTTATTCATATTCTTAATTATTTCCTTTTTATTATTAGAAAATGGTTAATGATACATTTTTTATTTACTAGATTATTAATTTTTTACTGCGGATTTATGTTGATTTACATTGGATGGCAATTGGAACTAATTTGAAAATGCACAAGAAAAACATTTAAAAATTGTTTATCAATAAAATAAAACTACCTTAAATGTGCTGAATACAGATTTATTTAACAAAGGAAGTATAAATTGTAGTTAGTGAATTGTCAGACTGGAAATCTGGCCTATGGTGACCAGGAAATAAAAAAGGGTATCTGGGGGCCAACAATGCTTATAGGCATCTAGCCTGATTAGATACTTTTCAAAATCCCACTAGGAGCCTATCTGCATATTTAGGCACCTAAATACCTTTGAAAATCTGGCCTCTTGTCCTTCAACTTTTAGACTTAACAGATTTAATTCTCTTTCACACCTGGTTTTTATTCATATATTGGATGAAAACATGTTTTCCTGTTTTTTCAACTCCCGGTTGGTTCCTCAGTTTTGAATGAATTAGTCCAAATGAAGAAAATATTTTCTCTTCATCTGCTAGATAAACTGAAAACAAAAGTAATTAAGGCAAAAGCTTTTCTGCTCAGCAGAAACTGAAAGTAAATGTAAATACTAGCATTCACTCAATTGAAAAGATTAAAAATAATATAGATACTGAATGCGGTATTGTGACTTTATAAAGCTTAATTGACTGCAAAAGTTAGAGATGTTTCAGAGAATCCCCCCGATTCTCTGTATCATAAAAAAAGCTGAACTCATTAACTCATTAAAATTTGAGGAGGGCTCATTAAAGCAGCATTTTTCTTTTATTTATTTAAATTATTTTAATAGATTATAGTAAATTTAGGCCTTAACATAAGCCATTTTAAAAAGGTTTTTAAAAATAAAAAATTAATTTAAATAAACTCTTATTTTGAGTTCTTTTTAAATAGATTTTTACCCATCCTGAACACTTAGGAGCCTAAATCTCACTCTCTTTCAATGAGACGAAGGCACCAAAATGCCTAAAACTCTTTTAAAAATAGAACCAAACCACTTTAAGCACTTTCAAAAATTTCACCCATTGTCTTCAGAAGGGAAGGAATAGGTTCATCTGTCTAAACAACTATGAGATATACGAGGTAAAGACAAAGGTACCAAGGAATTCCTCTCAAATTTTATCTGGAGTAATTATCAACCCCAAATAAGCTTAGCTAGACTAGAGGAAAGTTCCAAGTGGCACTTAAACCTGCCTCACCAACACAATATTAGAAACAATGACAGACATATGATGTAGGAAAAGCAACAAAAATAATTATAATAATAATTAAAGTTTTTTGGTTTTGGTTTTTTTTTTATTCTAATTCCTTAGTTGTCACCCATTTGGACTTTCAGAGAACAGAGAATAACATCAGGGAACTAAAGCCAAGTCTGGTTTTGATATACATAATACTACTTTATTCTTTTTATTTTTTCTTACTTTTCTTACAGTTTTAAAAATGTACAGGGGTTCAGAACCACCTCAATAAAACAATGCGTACATTTTTATTTTTAAAGGGACTACTGTAGTCAAACCATTGGTGTGCAAAGAGGGTTGACTTCCATTATGAAAAGTCATAGGCACAACTTCATTATATGCATTTTGGTAAAATAAGGAACTATAGCACAGCTGTTAAGAGGAGCAATAGTTAGGCCTTTTTTTAAAAAAAGGAAACAAACCACCATCTGCGAAAATGGCACCTTGGGTCAAAAATAATATTTAAAATATTTCACTACCTGCCATACTATATCTGAACCCCAGGCAATTTATTACACATGTAGTGCCCTTGCAAAGTATTTTATTTAAGCGGTGAACCTGAAAGGCAATACAAAAGGCAATACGGAGGCTCTTATCTGTATTTTATACTAAATTGTCTCTCCACCTCCTCCTCTAATAAGTATCTATTTAATAACTGCACAAAAGTATTTCTCTTAGAGCAAGTAATTCTTTTTTTAAATCCTGTAGACTTAAAATTGACCTACTCCATATGCTATGAAACATTAGGCACAGACCACATACTTTACATTTTCTTTTTTTAAAAAATACAATATGTGCAAGCTAGGTTCACACAAAGGATTGGCAGCTACAACAGTAAGCTATTCAGACCCCACAGAAAAGTTATTTTCCATTTAAAAAATTTTTTTAATTCACTGAGCAGTGATGTTACACTGCTGTGTGTGGTTATCATATTTGCATTAGGATTATTTGTGTAACTGTTAAAGGAAAAGCTTTAGTACATCCTAAAGGACACCACATCAATACTGTGTGCTAATTCAGCAGGATACAGAGAACAAAGTTTGTAAAAGTTATTAGAATATGGTGAATGCAATCATCAAGCTAGTAAAAATAGCCAGAATTTTCTGAAGGAAGAAGTTATTTGAAATTATGTTTATCTGACAGGCTCCTTCATTAACTAAATCACTTCTGAATAATGGAACCCAGGGTGCAGGGCATGAAAAAAATGGAAATGGGGGGGGGGGAGCAGGCTTTGTGGAAGCTGCACCAGAAATGCAAAAAATAAAACTAACTTTATCCAAAAAGTGTACCCATCCGTTTCTTTAATTTGTATGAGGTTTTTGGGGGGAGGGAAAGGGTTTAGCGGATATTTCTACAATTGAAAATAGTACAAGACACAAGCAAAGACTATGTGCAGCTGATTGTTAAATTGCAACATTTATTATGCATCCTCTGTTGATATCATTTATGGAGAGCCATCCACTGTGTTTAAAAAAGTTTATTTTAATGCGAGAGACTACTGTATATCCTGCCACATATATAATATATGACTATTTCTCTACAAGGAAAAAAATTTAATAAGTCACTAATTTATCCTAAGGGGGGCCTGCTTTGAAGTGCCTGTTATATCATGCCCTGCGGAAGATATGAGATATTGATTTCTTTCATCTTCTGTTAAATTTCTGTCATACCACCACACAATTTCACAAGACCCATATTCATAATAATTTGTGTACCCTTTCAGTGCCCTTTAATAGCAACCTTTTCCTTTATTCCGAATTACTTCCAAACCCACATCTCATCTCATAGGAACTATTCAAGTAAATATTTCTGTTGTGGCAAATTTCCAGATGTATCAAATGCTATCCAAACCCAATGTCAGATTGCATTTCATTAGTTGTCCCAGTTTTCTTTAAATGGAGCAGGAATTAGCCCGTTTTCTAGGTTTGGGGTCCCGTACATCCTTGTCTTTTAAACACATACAAGATGAACATATTGTCTCTGACAGTCTCCGGAGTCCCAGCCTGAAAACACTGTTGGAGAGGCTATATATCACACAGTTGCAGAAACTATTGCTTATAGCAAGCCATGTTGTTAAGAAGGAAAGTGCTGGATTATCCAGCACCCTAGAGCTCTCCAGCAGAAAGTATATGATATAGGGGAGCCAAAGCATGTAAAACACACTGGTTATCCGAAATAAAACCATGGCATAGCGGCGGTCAGGGCTGTGCCCAGTCTCTCCAGCAGCATCCACTTCATGGCTAGGAAAACGAGCTCTCCGGTCATTTATCTCTTTGGTGTGCTGCCGGCAAATTTTGAAGATGTGGAAATATGTGAAGCAGATTACCAAAGCAGCTGGAGCATATAGTAAGCACACAATAAAACCAGTAAAATAAGCATTGGTGAGCCAGGAGATAGCACACCATTCAAAAATATCACCATGGTAACCAGGTTTCCCCCAACCAAAAAAGGAAGGCAAGAAGATCAGACAAGAGTATATCCAGATTAAAATGATACAGATTCTCAAGCGACAAGGCGTGACCAGTTGATTATAGGAGAGAGGTTTTGTAATAGCAAGATAGCGGTCAACACTGATGCAAGCAAGACATGCCATGGAGACACTCTTCAGCACAGAGATGATATATCCAAAAACCTGACAAGTCAAGGACTCATGGACACCTGTAGAGTAGTGAAGCAATGATAATGTAGGAACCAGGCAGCTAACTCCAACAAAAAGATCAGCATAGGCCATGGTCTGAATAAAATAGCTGGTGGTATAATGATGTAAGAGCGGAGCACAGTGAAAGACAAATATTACAGTTAAATTACCAGCAATAATTAAAAATGTTAGCAAAACAATAATGACTGTCTCAAGGATGCAGATGTCGACTGCATTGTAGTGGCCAAATCCTAGCGGACAAGAGAGATGCTCAGACACATTCACAATGCTACTGCTCATGTTCAGAGTCCTCCATTCAGTCCATCTGGAGTGGTTCATGGTTTGGGATTCGGGAACACTGCAATCGGAGCTACGGTGAGCAAGTGACCTGCCCAACATCAGCTAAACTCTGCTTCAGAGTCTCATGATCTCGTTTTGCAGACACGGCCAGTACTTTTCTCAGGGAGGTTACAGTCTCATAGCTGTTGATGCCTCTTCAGCATCAATGCAACACTCTGACACACCTTAGCTTTGAGGAAAGGAAAAAAAAGCCAGAAAGAAGAAAAAAGGCCACTGACAGGTTTCCTCCAGTGCTCTTGATCCATCTTTGTCAAACACAAGGCACTTCTAAAGAAAACAGGTTCTTTTTACTGTATTTGTGGAAGATGAAAATAAAAACAAACAAAAAAAAGGCAGGAGAGGGGGAGAGACAGGAAAAAGTCAACTGCCTCAAAAAAAAAATTCTGTGATTGTTTTTTCCTGAGAAAGGCAGTTCTTTGGAATTAGCAAGAAAAATACAAAGAATAAAAAGGGGAAAATATTTCAATACAACACAGGTTTCATGAATCAGCAATCTTTAGAAACAAATTAATGTTTTATGTTCATTTAAATAATTAAACCATAAAATGTCTGGAAAATCAAGGAAAAGTTCACCGTATTGTGCTGTGTCTTTTGGCTCTGTTCAGGAGATCTTTGCTTCATATATTCTATTCATTAGAGAGGTAAGGAAAACATTTCTGTCCAGGGTAATTCCAATAGACTCACCACAGTTTGTGTATGAATAATGAATTTTATTTGGAGGGAGAAGGGTATGGGGAAAGCCAGGTTTGTCCTCTGACTCCCAGGAAGGAAAACATACATCTACCTGTACACGGAGGAAGATCATGTGTAATCACTTAAAAATCAGAAAAACGTAAGCATAAATTTTGGAGCTTTAAGTCAGTATTCAAAACTCTTTTAAACAGTTACGGTCCACTACAACTATCAATGTCAGCAGCACAATACAAGGTCCTCACAGACAAAATAAATCCTTCTTGCATTTCATTTCAGCAGTGATGATCAAAAATAATTTTCTTCAGAAATAATGCCATATCTGCTACAGTGAAGTTCATGGGTATATCCATGATATTTCTCACCTCTGTAGCAACACCTGAATCCTTTCACAAGCTCCATACAACAATAACAGAAACTTCCATCTGCATTCTGCTGTGAAGCTAATGAAATGCTGATCAGACTAGAAAAGCTGCCATTGTTTACTCCATTATTCTGTCATTCAGCTTCATCTTCTAGGCTGCCACAGACTTTCTGTTTTTATTAGACGATTAGCATGATAAATCACTGCTTTAAAAACCAGATCTTCTAATAGCTGGACATTACCTGTTAATTGTATTTGCGGTTATGGAGCAGCCATACGTTAAAGAAAGCCTCTTCTGTATTCATTTTTGAGTAACTGCTTGATTAGTGCAAGGACCATTAGCTAGGTTACTAAATGTACACAGTCTTGTTTTTAAAAAAAACCCAGAAATACTAAAAATATCTTTAATCCTAGAATTCCTGAGATTAGGAAGAGGCAGACAAGAACGAATCAATCCAAATAAAAAGATTTCCAAGGTCATGTAGCTATTATATTAGCATTTGTTTAATGTCCCTTTAAAAGTACTGACATCTCACTGATGCTTTTGATAGTCTTCATTGTCCTTCTGAAGGAATTTCATTCACTAGAAAAGAAACATTTTCTCCACTTCTGATGCAGTAGTTTGATAGAAAGCATTCTTTTGAAGTTAATTTTCCAAGGTGCACCATCATGCTGTACAGAAGGTTCTTTTTGATTTTATAACATCCCCAAAACACTTGCCAGTTGTTCATTCTCTCTGTTTATAAGTAATTTAATCTGTTACAAAATTACTACTTTTTAAAAAAATTCTCTTGCTACAGCAATAAACCAATGTTTCTCACCTATGTTCATTCTTATCAGCTGCTACGGTGAACTGCTTGATACAGAAGTCCTATTTACTGTGAGGCTGTTACAAGGATGCTGTCACTATTCCTCACATTCTCTCTCAAAATTATTGCTTGCACCTGAGCCTGCTGCTCCTCTTTATCCTTAGCTGATGCAGAAGAACTCACTATCAGAAAGGTGACTCGGTCCTTCTGCCCCAATCAACAGCACAGCCAATGGCTAAAGCAGCTGAAATTGTCACTAGGTAACAGTTGCCAGGCACAATGCAGGCTTACACAGCAAGAGGCAAATAAGAATGACAAATTAAGACAATGGAACTGACCATTTCCCTATAATATATTAATGGTATTTGGAAACTTCTGAAAGAGGCTTCCCTTCTAGTACTTCCACAGGGTTATATCCTGCAGATTAGCAAAACATGAAATTATTCATAGATGTACCTTTGCATACCACATAGAAACTACCATAATATTACTATAACAATCACCAGTTAAAGCAAGTCAGCAGTAATCTAATCCTTATTGGCAGGAAAGTCCTATTAATTATTAAACAAATAAGTGGTAACCTTCATAAAGTCAAACTGATTGTTTTAAAAATCAAAAACATGCTGTTCTATTTTGATCTGTAAAAGTTTAAAATCAGCTTCTACCCGCTTATCAATTCAAATTACTGAACTATTTAAACACAAATGTAAATACGTTAATATAACTACAAAATCATAAAAAATACATTTAAGCAATGTTTAAGATCCAAAATAAATACACAAATGAAAAGACATTTAAAATTAAGGCTCAAACTAGCTAATTAATTTGCTCTATTATGTCTAGATATGCAGAGGTCTCAGCACAGTATATTTTTGGAGTATACAGCATTATCTACTGCAATACCTAAATATAATGTTGAGAAAGTTATTCTCACAGTATTTGTTAGCAATAAATGTTAGAGTCATTCTTTCTAAATGTTTAAGAGATTTAACATGAACCAATTATTTGTTTTAGTTTAATGTAAAAAAAAAATGAGGGGAGTTACCAATGGATTTTAAAAGGGTAAATTAAAATAAGTCCCTAAAATTATTCAAAATGTCTAACTGTATATTTAGTAAATTATTAAAAAAAGATTTTTGGTCAGAACAATTTTCTTTCAGTAGGTGAGTGAGACAATGTAACAGACCATTGTAGTGTTAAAGTCTACAGATTTTCTAAACTCCATTAACTGATTTATGTAATACCAATAGATATTCATGATATTATTCCTCTTCTGGTTATGGATATTAAATATGTGTTTTGTCATTCCATAATACAAAATGAGCATAAACTAAAATGATTACATTCATACTAGACACATTTTTAACACAAAATTGAAACATTCAGTATATTCAGAAAATACCCAATCATACACCAATACAGCACAGCACAATTTTGGCTAAAGACCAGCAAAATACATTTGTCACAGGTTTGGTTTTAGAGAGTGAATAAAATAGAATAAAGTATCTAATTACTAAGTCTTGTAATTCTGCTACATCAAATCACAGACCAAATTTGGCAAAAGTTGCTCCTGGGTTAACACCTTGTATTGCAAATTCAGCCTGGAGCAAATTTTCAAGGCTGAATGACAAATCTCTAGAAATCAGAACTGCATACTGAACTGAAGCAACGTAACTATGAAATACACTGGTATAGCTGTGCTACTGTATTCCTCCAGTTGAGGGATTTAAGAGAAATATAAAGCAGTACATTAGTGCAATATGAAAGATATTCCAATCACTTGCTATTGTAAATTGCTTCAACAAAATGCTTTAGAACTAGACTGAGCCTTTAAGCTCAGCTCTGAGTAACATCTAGCTGCACCATAAGGGTAGCAAAGGAAAGGAATTTTGACTCCTCTCTTTTCCCACTTGCTTGCAGCCAGTGACAGGGTGAGGAGAAGGCTTGGGAGAGGAAAAGTGGATGAGACATCCCTACTCCTCCCTTCCTTCTGCTGGACTCCACACATGATCCAGGCTAAAACTGAAGGGCTCGTCTACACCTTTTAAAACACTGAAAATCAGACACTTCAAATTTAGCAGCAGCTAAACCTAACATTACGGGAATCATAAAAAGGTAAATAAAAAAAATAAAGTTTACATGACCATAGTTTTGAAACTTACTGATTTCTAAATAACAACAGCCATACTGAGTGAGACCACTGATCCATCTAGCTCAATATTCTGACAGTGGCCGGTTGCCAGATGCTTCAGAGGGAATTAACAGAACAGGGCAATTATTAAGGATACAATTTAATCATAGAGGTCATGGAAGTCACGGATTCTGTGACTTTACCAGACCTCCGTGATTTCTTTGGCTTCAGCGGTCAGTGGCTGTAGCAGGGCCCAGATCCGTATGCTCCCCTAGCAGCCCCCCACAGCTAAGCCAGAGATGGGGCTGTGTGCGCCCCCTTCCCCCTCTCTGCCCTCCGTGGCTTCAGCTAGGCTGTACACCCCACTGTGATGGAGGGGCTCAGACTGTCAGTTCCCCCCGCATGGGGCTCCAGCTCTCATTCCTTCCTCTTCCCCCATTTGTCCTCCTCCCAGTTATTTTTAGTAAAAATTCACAGACAGATCACAGGCTCCCTCAAATTTTTGTTTATTGCCTATGACCTGTCTGTGACTTTTACTAAAAATAACTGTGACAAAATCTTAACCTTAGCAATTATCGAGTGATCCACCCCCTGTTGTCCAGTCTCAGCTTCTGGTAGTTAGACATTTAGGAACACCCAGAGCACAGGATTGCGTGACTGACAATACTGGTTAATAGCCATTGATGGACCTAACCTTCATGAACTTATCTAATTCTTTTTTTTAACCCAGTTATACTTTTGGCCCTCACAACATTGCCCGGCAACGAGTTCCACAGGTTGACTATGTGTTGTGTGAAAAAGTATGTGTTCTTATTTGTTTTAAACCTGCTGCCTATTAATTTCATTGGGTGACCCCTAATTCTTGTGTTAAAAGACAGGGTAAATAACACTTCCCTATTCATTTTCTCCACACCATTCATGATTTTATAGATCTCTATCACATCCCCCCCTTAGTTGTCTCTTTTTTAAGCTGAACAGTTCGTCTTTTTAATCTCTCTTCATATGGAAGCTATTCCATACCCTAATCCTTTTCCTTGCCCTTCTTTGCACCTTTTCCAATTCTAATCTATCTTTTTTGAAATGGGGTGACCAGAACTGCATGCAGCGTTCAAGATGTGGGCATCACATGGATTTATAAGGTGGCATTATGATATTTTCTGTTTTACGATCTATCCTTTTCCCAATAGTTCCTCAGACTGTCAGGTTTTTTGACTGCCGCTGCGCACTGAGTGGATGTTTTCAGAGAACTTTCCACAACTCCAACATCTCTTTTTTGAGCTGTAACAGTTAATTTAGACTCCATCATATTGTATGTATAGCTGGGATTATTTTTCAATGTGCGTTACTTTACACTTAACAACACTGAATTTCATCTACTATCAGTCACCCAGTCACCCAGTATAGTGAGATCCCTTGTAACTCTTCACAGTCAGTCAGCTTTGGATTTAACTATCTGAGTAATTTTGTATCATCTGCCAATTTTGACACCTCAGCATTCACCCCTTTTTCCAGATCATTTATGAATATGTTGAACAGTACTGGTCCTAGTACAGATCCTTGGGGGACACCACACTTTACTTTTCTCCATAGTGAAAAAATGGTTACTCACCTTTGTAACTGTTGTTCTTCGAGATGTGTTGCTCATATCCATTCCAGTTAGGGTGTGCGTGCGCCGCGTGCACAATCGTCGGAGAATTTTCTACCCTAGCAACACCCGGTGGGTCGGCTGTGGAGCCCCCTGGAGTGGCGCCTTCATGGCGCTGGATATATACCCCAGCCGACCCAGCGCCCCCTCAGTTCCTTCTTGCCGGCTACTCCGACAGTGGGGAAGGAGGGCGGGTTTGGAATGGATATGAGCAACACATCTCGAAGAACAACAGTTACAAAGGTGAGTAACCATTATTTCTTCTTCGAGTGCTTGCTCATATCGATTCCAATTAGGTGACTACCAAGCCTTACCTAGGCGGTGGGGTCGGAGTGAGACATCGCTGTGTGCAAAACCGCTGATCCGAATGCAGCATCGTCTCTGGACTGCTGTACAAGCGCATAGTGAGCGGCGAAGATGTGGACCGATAACCAAACCGCCGCTCTACAAATGTCCTGGATCGGGACATGAGCCAGGAAGGCAGTCGAGGAGGCTTGGGCCCTCGTGGAGTGGGTGGTGAGGCGCGGCGTCGGGGCACCGGCCAGGTCGTAGCAAGCACGAATGCAGGACGTGATCCAAGAGGAGAGACATTGCGAGGAGACCGGTATGCCTTTCATCCGGTCGGCCACTGCAACGAAGAGTTGCGTCGTCTTCCTAAATGGTTTCGTACGCTCAATACAGAAAGCAAGGGCCCTGTGTACGTCCAAGGAGTGCATACGCTGGTCTTGACGGGTGGTGTGCGGCTTAGGATGGAAGACGGGGAGGAATATATCTTGGTTCACATGAAAAGCTGACACCACCTTGGGAAGAAAGGCAGGGTGGGGGCAAAGCTGCACCTTGTCTTTATGGAAGACTGTGTATGGAGGCTCAGACTTGAGCGCCCTGATTTCAGAAACACGCCTTGCTGAAGTGATGGCTACAAGGAAGGCTGTCTTCCAAGATAGGTAAAGGAGTGAGCAGGTAGCCAATGGCTCGAACGGGGGCCCCGTGAGCTTGGAGAGAACCAGGTTAAGATCCCACGCCAGAACGGGTTGGCGCTGCTGTGGGTATAGCCGGTCTAAGCCCTTGAGGAATCTGATGACCATCGGGTTAGAGAAGACCAAGGAAGCGTGTTCTCCTGGGTGGAACACCGAGATAGCTGCCAGGTGAACCCTGACCGAAGATATCGCCAAGCCCTGCTGTTTTAGGGATAGGAGATATTCAAGTATAAGAGGAATAGACGCCTGCAAGGGGGGCGTGGCCCGCTGCTCGCACCAACAGGAGAACCGTTTCCACTTGGCTAAGTAAGTGGTCCATGTAGAGGGCTTTCTACTTCCCAGCAGAATCTGTTGCACTGGATGTGAGAATCGTAGCTCTATCCGATTCAGCCATGGTTCATCCACGCTGTAAGGTGGAGCAATTGCAGGTCGGGGTGACAAAGTCGGCCGTGGTCCTGAGAGATCAAGTCTGGGCACAAGGGAAGCGTGATCGGAGTTTGTACCGATAGCTCCAGAAGCGTGGTGTACCAGTGCTGTCTTGGCCAAGCTGGAGCGACTAGAATCATACATGCCCTGTCTCTGCGTAGCTTGAGCAGCACCCTGTGGACCAGTGGGAATGGAGGGAAAGCGTAAAACAGCTGGTCTCTCCACGATAGGAGGAAAGCGTCCGACAGGGAGCCCAGAGATCACCCTTGGAGGGAGCAGAACATGTGGCACTTCCTGTTGGCTCGTGAGGTGAACAGGTCGACCTAGGGAAATCCCCACCTCTGGAAGATGGAATGGATGATATCCGGGCGAATTGACCACA